GTGTGTGTGTGTGTGTGTGTGTGTGTGTGTGTTCGTGCGCGCACACACACTTTTAAAATGTAACTTCTAATTGAAATGATTTTGTTCAGACTGTTAAATCCAAATTCATCGAACTTGGGTAGCTTTAATAAATTTGAAATAAACAAGTTATTTAAATAGCTTTAAAATAATCTTTATTAACATGCTATGTTGTGTTAATCAGTTTAACTTGCATTCTTACACCCATATTTTAAACCATATTATAAATAGCTACCATTCTTTAATTAACCCAGATTAAATATCACAGATTGTTAAACTCCTTGCAAGAATTGCATTTTCACAGTTCATTAACATAAAATGTCATTGCTTTTTATGGTTACGTGATTTGAACACAGACATAGGTGTTCATTAAAGGATTCATGGATTCATATGTACAAGATGAAACAATGTAATTGTTTTACTTTTTTCTGCAGAAGGGACTCGGGGAATATGGGGTTTCCCTTTGGGACGCTATTTGAAAGAAGAGGGATGGTTCTGTGGTCGAAATGCTAGAATGGCTGCCTGTTTGGTATGGATTCCTTTTTTCTGCTTCTGTTTGACTTGCAAATTCATAACTTTGGAACAGAATTCAGGATGTATTGAATAATATAGATCATGGTGTATCAATTAACAAAAATAGTGATCATTTGTTTTTTAAAAAGTGCATATTGTGTCTCTGTAATATTGAAACAATGGACACTGGTAAAAAAGAACCAAAACTGATTGAGTTGACTCCATATTTTATTAAGTTTAGAGGAGAAATGCTAATATAAAAGAAGAGAATTAAGGAAAAATTCAGTAAAAATGCAGTACATTTGCCAATTTCATTAGTCTTTACTGGTTCTAATACCTACATAGTGACTAAGATGGTCTTTTCAGTGCAGGATGAGATCTCTGGTATCTTTTTCATAGAACAGCTCTATATATCCATAATGTGGTTACCCGATAATTAGATAACCATAGTTTACTTCATCCTACTTTCTGGGTTTGCACCAGATAGAGAACTCTATAAATTATAAAGAGGTTTGGTAAATATGCTAGGCTACTTGCAATTGACTATTGTGTTGCTCACTGGACACAGCTGAATTTTTTTTAATATGTACTATGTATTCATTTGCACCTTACATTATCATAGCATGGTGACAAGCCATGAAATGCATTCAGATTTTCAAGCAAATTTATTTTGAGCGTCTGTTCTTCTGACACTTAAATCCTCTCCCTAGTTAGATTCAAATTCATATGACTCATTAGCATTTTCACAAAAGCTAACTATAAATCATAATGGGGTAGCAGAATGTTAAACAAATCAGAGATTAGGTTTGCTTTGCTGCTTCTGATTGCAATACTACCCTGTCTTGAAACATCTTTCCTATGAACCAAATGCTTATTTAATCCTTGTGTGATCCTCTTATATACTTCAATCTTTGCCCCTTTGACTTGCTCATCCTCTGCCTCCGTTTTCATAATTCCAGCAAGTGCATTCAAGCGGCTGTTGCTTTCTTTGCACTTAGCTTTTTTTCCCCCTTCAGCAGCCTGATCAGAATAAAGATACATTCCTTTTCTCCTCCCATCGCATTGTTCTCTTCTACATTTTTTTTATATTGGATGTGCTTTTAGAGATACCATGTTATCATTGACCTTGTATTTACACAATAAAAAATATATAACTAATAATAGCAATATAGTAGGATAATTCCATATTTCTTTATGTGGAATTTATGTTTAGTAATGTAATAAATTATTCTTTTGGCAGAATGTCTATGGAGATTCTCAGTCATCCAGGTCATGGTTATCCCAAAGATGTTTTTTCAAGAGGCAACTGGACTTTCTGTTTTTTCTCTGAAGACAGTTCTTCAGCTCTGACTTCTTTTGGCAGATAATTGAACTATTATTGATTCATGCAATGCATGAATAGCACCTCCTGTCAGCATTAGTATTTGAGGGGTTCTTGAGTGTTCCTCAAACAATTCCTATCTAAAAACTGAACAAAAAGTCTTGGAACACAAAATTTACTTATTTTTTAAAGTAATTCTATGGATCTGGTAAAAGTTTTTTTTATTCATGTTCTCTGTTCTCAGTTTCTACATATCTCAGTGTTCTTAGTTTTTCTTAAAGTATATCCTTTTCTAGAGTTTTTTCTTTTTTTCTTTTTTTATTCTTAGCATCTTTAAAATTCGGAGGTTTTCCCAAGCTAGGTAAGATATCTCTGTTTGACATAGACAGTGCCATATTTGGCAAATATTTACCAGGAAGGACTGCAAATCATTCAGTAAAGAAAATTAAACACACACACACACACACACACACACACANATCACTGGATCATGTTCAACAATTTTGTTGAATTAATATTAACTAAAAAGGTTTTTAAGTTGGATTTTGAATAAATATACAATTAATTGTTACAGTTTTGAATTTTACTGTTACTATCTTCCTTTCATCGTGCAAACCGCCCAGTCACATGACCCCCCAGCCACGCCCACAGAGCCGGTAGTAAAAAAATTGAATTCCACCACTGGGTGCGGGGCACTGAGGATCAGTTTGTAGCACCAAGGGGGCGGTGGACTGAAAAAGTTTGGGAACCACTGGTGTATAGTGTGTATTTGTGTATAACACAAATGGCTGTCTTTATGCAACATTAAAATAGAAAGAAATCATTATTAGTGATCCCAACCTGTGAGGTGAACAAGGATTTTTGCCACAGTGTATGATATATGTACCTTACTAGGCTGAAGTAAAGCAACAAGAAGAAATATTTCACATGTTCAAGTTAAGTTACGTATCCCTTCCTGTTTGCTAGCATAAGTATGGTGATAAAAAGAAAATAGATATTCTTTTTATTAATTTAATTTACCATTATTTTGAATAATGTGCTGAATTTAAAAATAATTCTCTACCCGAAGGATTTAATTCAGTAAAAAATAGATAGATACCATGTTTCTCCAAAAATAAGACCCTGTCTTGTATTTTTTTGCCACCAAAGAAGGCACCAGGTCTTATTTTCAAAGTGGGATGTTGTCCCCTAACTCACCTCACTTGCGTGCTTCGCCCTTGGCCTCTTTTTTGCTATCAGAGGCCTTCAAGAACTACTTCTGCAAGGCTAGCAAGGCTGAAAGTCTCTTCCAATAACAGAACTCCGGATCGATCCAGAGCTCTGATATTGGCTACAGAGGCCTTCAGGAAAGCCTTGCTGGCTGCAGAAAAAGAAATGGGCCGAGGTGTGTGAGGCCTGGCTAAAATGATCCGAAGGTAAGTAGTAGGACAGCTCCACTCCCCCATACCCACCCTAGCTTAATTTTTACCTGTGCACCCTGGAGTGGGTGGGGTCTTAGTTAGGGCTTATTTTGGGGGATAGGGCTTATATTGGGCACACGTGTAGGACTTACTTTCTGAGTAGGTTGTATTTCCGGGGAAACACAATAGATCGATAGACAGACAGATAGACAGACTGACAGGCTCTCTTGTCTCATGAGAAATTTCTGCACAGTATATGGGCTAGAGCGTCCCAACTCCAGATGAGAAACGCCACAGAGTAAGTAAATCTTTATTACGGTCAAAGATTTACTTACTTACTTACTTACTTACTTACTTACTTGAGATGCCATAGAAGGTTGTAGAGAATTACAGGGTTAAGATCCTGACTGACAGGTAGGTACTAGCCAATCAACCAGATATGATGGGAATAGATCAGAATTCAGCAGTGGTGATAGATGTAGCTATGCCAACAGACAGCAACAACAGCAAAAAGGAGTATGAGATGATGGAGAAATACCAGGGCCTGAAGGAGGAACTAGAGAGAATGTGGAAAGTAAACACAAAAGTGGTCCCAATAATGGTAGGGGCACTCAGGGTGGTGACTTCTAAACTGGGAGAGTGGCTTCAACAGATCCCAAGAACGACATCAGAGTTGTCCAAAAGAGTGCAGTGCTAGATACAACTAAGTGCTGCACAGAACCCACAAACTCTCAAGCCTCTAGTACAGAACCTAAATTGAGGAACATACATACCACCCATAGGGGTAAGAAAGGAATACGTGTGTGTGTGTGTGTGTGTGTGTGTGTGTGTGTGT